TTCACCATTTTTTTGCAATCACATCAATATATCAATTATCCTTTAATTTGTAGGTCTTGCCAAGTACCAAATAATTTAAATTCAACGACTTTGAACCTAGGGTTAAAGAAATGTTGGATCATATGTTTGGTGGAGTCATGGCCACAAGTGATCATGCATGGGCCCCAAGCGAGTGAAAGTTTAGTGTGGGAGCTTAACATGCAGACACCGAGCAACTTGCTGACTGCAATGAATGCCCCAACCCTAACCTCAATGGAGTTGAATTTACTAGTTGATCCAAACATCTTAGGGACATTATTTATGCTATTTTCATTATGGTTGAATTTTATTTATTGGCCCCTTTTTGTTTGGTTTTTATGAAGACATCTTTACAAACAAAACAACCTTTTCATTGCTTTTGGAACTTTCACTACCATTATTTTTTTAAATGTTTTTTTAGCTAATTTGGTATTATTTATACATGGTAGCTGAATAACATAGATAGAGAAAGACACAAGAGAAAAATTACACCTGTATTATGCTTAATGTATAAGTATTACAACTTTTATATTGCTCGCTCTCCTTTATGAAATCCACATACATAGGTGAAAAAAGGGTTGAGGAGTTCCGGAGTTGCTTGGGGGCCACTCAATAAGATTTAACAATATATTTTGTTTGACACAAACTGTATTCATTGATCTATTAGAAGAACTACATAGGAATCGTGGACTACATAGCTTCTTTAGGATGACTTCGATAACCATCTATATTTTATGACATAATGGATCTATGAGGGGAGTCATTGAGTGATTCAAACACTCAGTAGAAATAATCAGTAGATATTTCTCGATTGGTTTGGATGCTCTAATCAGCTTACCATCAGAAATTATCAGAGTCGAAGGCCCCACATTCCAAAATACTCCTATAGATTTCAGAAGACCAATCATATTTCAAGGTAAATGCATGTGTTAATACTTGCCTAAATTTACTTAAACACAATAACTCTAATACTTTGAATAAATGCTTTAGGATTGTATTGGAGTGATTGATGGAACACATATGATGCACACTTGTCAAATAATGAAAAGATCACATACATCGGACAATGCGGTGCACCCACACAAAATGTAGAGGCGGTGTGTGAAGTGCTTTACATTTATTATGGCTGGATGAGAAGTCAGTGTACACAATAGTCTCATATTCAAGTTTGCCATGCGAACTAAGGAAAATAACTTTCCAAAGCCACCCAAGGTTTGCTTGAATATTAATAAATGAAAGGGTATTTTCAGTGCAATACTAATGATTATAATTATATGAAAGAAATTTTATTTAGTCGATGTTGGATTCCATTATAAAGAGGGATTCTCAACCCCCTTTTCGACACCAAATACCACATTCCTAATTTTGAAAGAGCTAGCAACATTGGACGTAGAAAAAGATGTTTAATAAGAGACACTCATCCTTAGGCGAAGTTATTGAAAAAATATATGGGGTTTGGAAGAACAAAATGGTTTATTGTGTGAGATATACTAACATATCCATTTAACAAATAAGTGCATATTATGGTCATTATAATGACTCTACATAGTTACATTCTTCGACAACCATCACATGATGACATTGAATTCAATAGTGTAGATGAATATCATTCACCTGTCCCTGCTGAAGCATATGAATACCGCCCAGGGCAATTAATATCACAAACTGAAAGAGATTTACCTGAGTCTTGTACCCACGATGGAGAAAGTGTTGGGGAGATGATGTAGTTGAGAGAGCAAATTACTGATGTAATAATTAGCGGGTGAAAGAACGATATATGTTGTTTTATATTTATTTATATACAATGTGTTGTGAAAACTCTTAATATTTATTTTAATGACGGTTTGTGCAACATCGTTCATATTGAATCTCAATTTGCTTTTCATTCTTCTCCTACATGAATGTCTTTTAGACAATCATGGGTTTAATATAGATTTTTTTCTTGCGGGTATTCTTTTTGTTTTAAGGTCTATGATGACATAAATACTATGATGACATAAATGACCTAAGGGGTTCTTCTGGATAGCCTTTATGGTGATATGATTTTGTTACACATATGAGCTAAATACTATATGGTTTAAAGACAACCAAAAACCCTTTATTTTTTAGCCAAATGACTGATGGGCTTTTCTGGATGGTCTTTTGTGGTGAAATGGTTTTGTGATGCATTCGAGCACGATTTTACGTGGTTTAAAGAGAACCGCGATCCCTTTTTTCTTCAATCATATGATTGTTGAGGTTTTTCGGGATGACATTTATGATGATATGCATCTGTGACACATACGAGCTCTGAATTACATGATTTAAAGACACTCAATAACCCTTTTTTTTAAAGATCTGTTGTCTTCTTGTAGTGAGAGATTATTCGTTGGCTTATATTTTGTGCTATGAGACTTTTCAATTTTATAAAGCTTTAATTGCATATTTTTATTATTCCTTTTCACTAATGTTGCATCTAAGGATCTGTGCTTTGTGATTGTAAACCTTAAAAAAAGATTAGCTCGAAGTTTTATGGCGCCTCTAGAGTATGTACTACTACCGTAAACTGCAGTATTCTTTGCTTACTTCACGACAAAAGTATAGTTATGAGAGACAATTTACAGGTGTTCAAGGAATAGGCTATAGAACTTTGACTTCTTCAGGTGGGTGGATCAATTCGATGATTACACCTCTGATAGTGATCAGACGTGGAGAGCTTTGTTGAAGAAAAAATTATCTCTTGAAATTCAACATTAGGATAATATTAATTATCACTTTAATAATCTTATTTTTAAATTTGATTGTTGTGTTACTCACTATTTAGTGGGGTGTCAGCTTTTATTATGTAATATTTGAATTAGATATAAAGCGCAACAATGATTAATTCTATTATAAAAACACAATAATATATGGACAGAAATGTCTTTTTATAATAAATAGTTGCAGCAAAACTCACAAAAGAACCAGATACAGCTTGCATCTTCCTTTAGCAGCTCCTATGCAACAGGTTCCCGACATAGGTGTCGTGCAACAATTTTTTAATAAACTGCAGTTTCTTCAAAAAAACTCTTGACTCTAGACATAAAATCCAATATTTGTTATTGACATTAACTCTGACTTTGGACATTAAATCTAATATTTATACCTGAGTGTTTTTAGCCCTCTATCTTATCATATCAAAGAGAAAAAATCGAACCACAAACTATCTTTAGATGTTGGTCATGTAAAAATATAAGAGTTGAAAGGTATCTATGTAAATGCCCCATTAAAATCATTCCATTAAAGCATAAAATTCGAGTGGCTTCCTTTACAATTGCCTGTTCGTACCGCGCAGCGGATCGGCAGTCATCTCCCCGCTCACGTCGTGCCCGTCTCGAATCGGGATACTCGCACAGGCGCTTCCCCCGCTCCAGCATTCGTCCAATATTCCTCTTATCAGATTGGAAAGAATCCGTGGACTATTTCTCTCGCCGTCGCGCCTTCAAATTTCAGAGCGAGTCGTGCAGCCTCGAAGCCATCTGTATTCCTCTGTTTTTTTTATCTGTCCTTCTCCTACATCTCCTCCGGTCAAAATCTTATCTTTACCTAGTTCCAGCCGTGAAGCCGGCTGATTTTTATATCTATGAGGTGTGGGCAGGCTCAATCTCTTATTTTTTTGCAATTGAAGTTAGTAGTTTTGCCCAATGGCGTCCACACCGGAGGCAGCGGTGGCGGGCGAGGGGGTG